CCCCAGGCCCCCGCCGACCCCCACTTCCCCCAAGGAGAAGCTGAAAGCCAAGAGTCCCTCGCGGCCTGGGGGCAACATCCTGGCAGCCTCTGCTCTGAAGAAGCCACCCGGGGTGAAGACCCCCCGGAAAGAGACTGGGAAGAAGCCAGCGCCAGGGGAGGCAGGAACCCGGGGCGCCAAGACCCAGACTCCAGGGGACATTGGGGAGACTGGGAACACTGGTCTGGAGCAGGACATGCCTGGCACCCAGGGCAGGGGTAGGGACTCGTCTGTGCCCCTTGGCCCAGAGCCCCCAGCAGACACCCAGACCCAACCCAGCCCTGCCCCAACCCAGACATTGCCCCCTGTGAGAGAGGATGGTATGGAGGAGGACAAGATGCCAAGGGCACCAGCCCCTGCTGACCAGGAGCCAGATGGACCTACAGAGCCTCTCTTGACATCTCTGGGCTCACAGACTGGAGCAGGCAGCAGTGGGGAGACTGGAAGCACTTGTTTGGAGCAGGCCATCTCCCCCACCCTCCTTGGGGACCTGCAGCATGATGCCAGGATGGATGGTCTCCAGGAGACTCCGAGCCCCTCAGAGCACCCCACCACTGCCCCCCAGATTCCTGTCGCTGCCCCTCTCCAGCCAGGAGCTCCAGCAGGGGGTACTGCTGGTCCTGTGGCAGCTCCCCCTAAACCACAGATGCTGCCATTGGGCCTCCCCAGATCTCCTGGGAAGGGCTCATCGTCCTCGCCATCCAGCACCCTGAGTGGGCCTGAGTTGGCAGGGCAGAGCAGCAGCGAAACCAGCACTCCTGAGGAGCTGCGAGCCTATGACAGCAGCTCGGGCGTGGAGTCCAAGTCGGATGAACGGCCCCTGGCCCCCAGCCCTGGCCCTGGTGAGCCTGACCTGAGCATCCGGCGACTGCCCGGCAGCCGTGGAGACCTACTGAAGATGTCCCCTGAGGACTCCGAGGGGCTGGGCTCTGGTGAGGCTGGCACTGAGACCCCCTCTTCCACCCCCTCACCACCCCTGGCCCCCCCTGCCGGCGCTCCTATACACTGGTGCTGTCCCCACAAAATAGAGGAGGAGGAGACTGAAGTCCCTGGCTTCGGCACTGGCCCCCGGAGTCTGCCTACAGGTAATGTATAGGGAGGAGTGGCACCAGACCCAGGGGTGACCTTTGACCCCATGGGGGAACTTTTTATCCTGAGGGACCTTTAGCCTGGGAGGGCCCTTGACCCTTGTGGGAGGAGGACCTTTAGCGTGGGTGGACCTTTAACTGTGGTGCTCAGAGTTGTGCGCAGCACTGGGGCTGGGGAGGCTCCTGGAGCTGTATGTAGCACAGTGGGGAGTTGGGAGGGGACATTAACAGCCTACCTGGTCCCTGGGAGGTCCATTCCTCGCCTCCCACCATCTGTCCCCTCATCTCGGCCTGTGTGCTCCGTGTGTGTCTGTACCCCACCCCCTTGCTGTTCTAACCCACTCCTCTCTGTTTGCAGGGGGCAGGGGGGGCTCTGATCTCTCATATTTTTTTTAACCCTTCAGTACCTGGCAATAAAGCGTCGCTTGTCTCTACCTGAGCTGCCGGCCTGGTGTGGTGTGTTTCTCCATAGGGATTAGGGCTCCTCTGTCTCTTCCCCTCCCCCCACCTTGCTGGCCTGCCCTGCCCTGGACCTGGAGCTGGGAGGATGGTCCAGAGGATGCCCTGGATTGCTATAGTCCCCCCCTCATTGCCATGACAATGCCATTGCAACTCTATATTCTCTGAGGACCATGGAGGGGGTAGTGGTTCCAGCTCCCAGCAGCCTCTTGGGTCTCTCTAAATACCTCTTCCCAGAATCCCTGGATATTAAGTGGGTGGGGGGCATGGGGAGAGGGTTTGTTGGCTGATTTTATTCCCACTTCCCCACATCAATCAGTGACACCCAGGGGCTGCCTACAAAGTGCCAGCTCCCTGGCAGGTGAGGATGGAACCCCCCAGAATATTCCCCCATCACCCTAGCTAAAGGGGTAAGACAGGGTTGCAATTCCAGTGCCTGCCACTAGGGAGAAGCACAATTCCCCCCCACCGCACTTCCCAGCTCAGGCCCATGGAGGCAAGGAGAGTCTCCATGCCTTTGGACCAAGAATCAAGTGTGGGGAGGAGCTGTGGAATGAGCTTCCAGGCATTGGGTACCTCCCTCGGAGGGCAGGAAGTGCCTGGAGCTGTACGAGTGGCATAGAGAGGTCTCCATGGCAGTGCCAATGGCCTGGGGGAGGTCTGGGAGCTAGGAGCAGAGAGGGGCTCTGAGAGCCCTTCTAAGACCCAAGAAAGGCAGCAAACTTATCTGCTTTCTGGCAGATCAGGGCCATGGAAGAACAGGGTAGTTACCGTACTTCTTTGTCTACAACGTGCCCCCTCTTAACACCTGTCCCTTGCTTTTTGGGATGCAAAATGAAGAAATGTCATTGTTCATCATCATTGAGATTTTTTTTTTTTCCAGGGTTTTACAGCTTCACAGAACAGAAACAACACCGCCTTCAGCTCCTT